AGTCAATCTGCACCGGTCAGCGTTCCGGCACCAAGAGAGCGCCCCGAGAGAGCGCTGACCCATCCCGCTCTCGGGTCCCCGGCGCCTCCCCTTGCCCCGCCTCGTAGGCGTGACAGTTGCCAGAGTCTCAATGGGGGTTGGAACTTCCAGAACCAAGCTGGAATGGCTACCCACTACACAGACCTACCTGTTTCTTGTCTCAAAACCGTATTGACATCTTTTCATGCTGTCACCTCTACTGCACTACTGTCTTTTTGGTTTCGGTTTTATATTTGTTATAGTCATTCATAAAGACTTTCAGAAGAAAACAATGATAAATATGTGTTCACTTCTCTGAACAATGAAACAACTTTCTTCATTTCCAGAATTGCTTTTGGTAAAAAAACAAAAAACAAAAAAACAAAAATAAAAACAAAAACATTAATACCAAAAGCACAAAGCATATATATTTTAAATATTATATCCTATGTTGAATTTAATTTTTGCTCATTTTATAAAATAGATATTAAAGATCTCTAAAAACCCACCTGTCATTCTTTTTCCAGTGTCTTTCTCTATCTCTTTCTTCAGAGAGCCAAAATTTTCACTGAAGACATTGTTCATTTCCTTGATTAGGCTTATTCTAAGACATTTCATTTTCTTTTAGATTATTGTGAATGACAGTGTGTCCATGACCTCCTCATATATTTGCTCTTGGTGTATAGAGAAGCTATTGATTTGAGCATGTTGATTCTGTATTCTGCTACATTGCTGAATTTGTTTATTATTCTTTGTGTAGAATTTTTGGGATCTCTGAATTACAACATCACTACATCTACAAATAGGGATACTTTGATTTCTTTTTTTCCCCAAATTAGTATTTATTTAATTCCCCATTCTTGCCCTATTGCTCCATCTCACACTTTGAGTATTATATCGAAGAGTAGTGTGGCCACTGTACATTCCTGTTTCCTTCCTGACTTCAGTGGGATTGCTTCAAGCCTTTTTTTCCATTTACTATGATGTTGGCTGTGGGTTTTTCATATATAGCTTTAATTGTGTTGAGCTGTTTTTCCTCTACCCCTAAATTCTCTAGACTTTTATTGAAAAGGAATGTTGAATTTCGTCAAAGGCTTTTACTGTGTCTACTGAGATGTTTATGTTATTTGTGTCTTTAAGGCCATTTATGTATTTTATTACATTTATTGACTTGTGTATATTGAGCTATGCTTGTATTTCATGGATAAATCCAGCTTGGTCATGGTGTCTAAACCTTTTGATGTATGTCTTGCTGCAAATATTAAATAACATTGAGTTCTTGTGTGTCAGCTCAATGACAATCTTATAACTAACTGATGCTGTTTATGTTACACCACTGATTTCTCAGTCACACCTTCTCTCACCAGTGGGAAGTTAGTATAATCTTTCAAAGATGTCTAAAGTAGAGATTTCTTCCCTGGCTTTATGGACGAGAATCATCAGACAAAAAAATAAAATAAAATAAAATAAAATAAAGCAATCTGCACAAAGCAACTATGAGTTAGAGCTCACTGTATTAAGAACATAGACAAAAGAAGAATAAGTGAATTAATGTAGGTTTTCAGGTTTAAAAATGTGAAAGGAAGAGATGAGAAGCAAACAAGAGACAAAGTAGTTTCTGAGGCTCTTTAAACTGAATGGCCTTCTGTTTGCTGACCAGCTGGGCCTTGGCCAAGTAAAGTGTTGCAAGCACTGACTGATATCTTATCTTAGCATGTATGTTCAGTGCATAGAGGATGTGAGAACAACAAAGGTTAGGCAAAATATATGTCCTCAGTTTGACAACACCAAAGTTTTAACTGTCAATATGTATTCATATTGTTTTTCTGCTTAAGGAAATATGGCCATTTGGAGCATGTGTGTGTGCACATGTGCATGCATGTGTGTGAGTGTGTATGTGTGCGAGTGTGCGAGTGTGTGTGTGTGTGTGTGTGTGTGTGTGTGTGTGTGTGTGTGTGATGTGCTCAAAAGTATTGGGGATATGATGAGATTAGGGGGAAAAGATTTGCTAATTTCTTTATATCTTAGGTGACAAGTATATATTTATGGATACTTTTACACACACACACACACACACACACACAGAGAGAGAGAGAGAGAGAGAGAGAGAGAGAGAGAGCTTTTGTCAGCTCAGGACAATGAAAGAAGGTGGGCTTATTTTTCTAGGAAACATCTATTAGAGCACTATCTAAATTGGAAAGGGAAAGTAGCCTAAATTACAAATGACCATGAAAGGAATAGAGCAACTGGCCCCAAAATAAGTCACATCTAATTTATTCCTTCTGCGTCACCAATCTAACAACACTAAGCATTGGATAATAGTCCAGCAGGCTTAAACATGGTCCCTGCTTTCCATGTCATTATTGTCTTCCATCATGGCTTCTTAGATTGTGGGTCACAACTCCATTTGCTGCATAACTGAATGTGGGGATCATGAGAAGTTGTGAAGCAGTAAATGGGTTTAGAATGCATAGTAAACAAAATTTAATTCAAAATCAAATTTATAATGAATCCCAGGTGTTTTGGGAAGCAACAACACAGCTCCATTGTGATTGGTCTGAACACATGGCTGATAGGCTTTCAAATTTGTCAGTCCTTCCACACAACTGCAACAAACACTGTTTAACGTATGAACTGTTATAAACTATAAGGTTTAACTGCATGTACAAAGTTTACTTCTCTAACAGAAACATGATTTTATAATTAAGGAAAACAAAGACAATAGTTTTCTATTGTAATTGGAAATATAAGGACTTATTATGGATGTTTGAGAAGCTTATGGAAGTGTTTTCTCTCAGGCACAAAAAGAAGAGAATCTGGTCCAAGAAATAGTATTTGTTTATGTAAGTTTTCTCTGCAGAATTATTGTGGCAGTGAAGAAGGTGTATGTTTTAGTATGTTGTTCACATTGCTGTGGCGAAGTACCAGAAACAAGGTGGCTTTCAAATAGCAGAAAGTCATTTCTCATTGTTCTAGTGCCTGGTAAATCCAGGATGACACAACATCAAGGAAATGCCTGTTTTCTGAGTCAGTGATGTTGCTACCTAGAATGTCCTCACATGGTTTGAAGGACCAGGCAGCTCCTGAGGATTCCTAAAAATAATATTTCTATTCATGGGGCCTAATCATTTTCCCAAAGGCCACGTGCTGTTGTCAACACTGTCCTAGTCCATTTGTGCTGCTGAAATAAAATACTGGAGATGAGGTAATTTATGTAGAACAAAAATTAATTATCTCTGTGGTAGTATTATGTTCCCCAGAATATTGTGCACCCTAATAAACTTATCTGGGGTCAGAGAACAGAACAGCCACTAGATACAGAGGCTCGACAATGGTGGCACTCACGCTGTTAATCTTAGCATTCCAGAGGCAGAAATTCATCTGGATCTCTGTGAGTTCAAGGCCACATTGGAAACAGCCAGGCTTGGTGACTCATGCCTTTAATCCCAAGAAGTGAGCCTTTAATCCCAGGAAGTGAGGGCAGAAAACAGCAAGATATTTAAGGCGTAAAGACCAGAAACTAGAAGCTTTGGGCCGGTTAAGCATTTAGGCTTTCAAGTAGCAGTTCAGCTGAGATTCATTTGGATAAGGACTCAGAGGCTTCCAGTATGAGGAAACAGGATCAGCTGAGGAACTGGCAAGGTGAGGTAGCTGTGGCTTGTTCTACTTCTCTGATCTTCCAGCATTCACCCCAATAACTGGCCTCAGGTTTGATTTTATTAATAAGTACCTTTAAGATTCATGCTACATATCTCACTTCTCAAATCCTGGCAGTTCATGATCAAGGCATTGGCATTTGTTAAGGTAAGGGCCCTTGGGTTACATCCATCCATTTTGGAAAGTGGAAAGCCAAGCAAGTGAAATTCTAGGAAAAACCTTTTTCATAAATCCCTGCTCTTCTTAAAGAAGAGCAGCCTTGATTATGTGTCACATGGTAGCAGGAAGTCTTGAGAGCGAGCATAGTCACACAATTCCACCTGCATTGGATATGGGGGAAGCTATAGGCTTTCAGGACATAGTGCCATTAACTCAGTAACCTTGAGAAAGTTCCTTGAACCCGAGTTTCTTTACTTGTAGATACAGGATTTTCATGATATCCAGGGTTTGTAGTGAGAATTAAATTGACCATATAGGAAAGACATTTGGTTAATTACCTGGCATGTAGCAAATACTCAATAAATGCTAACTACTATTGTTTCCCTTCTAGAAACGTGTCCTTTATTGCTCTAATATACAATAATCAAGAGTGTGAAAAAAAATTTTGTAATCACTTGAACTTACTGTATGTGTTTAAATAGGCAGGTCACCTGTCTCTTGTCTTTTTCCCCCCCACAATAGTCTCATATCCTGCCACCTTCTATTTCTGTGTAAAATATGTCATTCAACAAACATAAACCTGTAGTTGAGGGAAGTCAGCATAGAGTAGAGATACAAATCCATCTATTTAATTTGACTGCTTAGGAACCTAATCAGCAAAGCAGAGGACATATGGGTCAACAAAACAGACCTTGCTGTGTGAGTGAAAAAGATGACCAGGGCAGCTCATTTTTTCTTTTTAATTTAATTAATTATATTATTTTACATCCTGATCACAGTTTCCCCTTCATTCTTTCCTCCCATTCTCCCCCCTCTTCCTCAATCCACCCTTCCTCTATTTCTGTTCAAAAAGAGGCAGGCCTCCCATGGATATCAACAAAGCATGGAATATCAAGTTGCAATAAGAATAAGTAATATCCCTTGTATTAAGGCTGGGCAAGGCAACCCAGTATGAAGAATAGGTTTCCAAAAGCCAACCAAAGCTTTGGGGGCAGCTCCTGTTCCTATTATTAGGAGTCAAACATGAAGACCAAGCTACACAATTGTCATATAAGTATAGAGGGCCTAGGTTGGTCTGGACATTGATTCAGACTCTGCGAGCTCCTTTGAGCCAGGTGTCATAGATAGGGATTTTTTTATTGCTGTGAAGAGACACCATACCCATTATAATACTTATAAAGAAAATATTTAATTGGGGTGACTCACTCAGAGTTTCAGCAATTTAGTCCATTCCCATCATCATGTTGGAAAACATGGGGGCATGCAGACAGATATGGTGCTAGATTCGTAGCTGAGAGTGTTACATATTGGAGGCAAAAGAAAGTCAATTGAGACACTGGGTGGTATCCTGAACATAGGAAACCTCAAAGCCCACCTCACAGCTACACACTTCTTCCAACAAGGTCATACTCACTCCAACAGATATGCATCTCCTAGTAGTGTCACTTCCTTTGAGATTACAGGGGTCAATAACATTCAAACTACCACATTACACTCCCTGGCCCCCATAAGTCAAATGCAGTTTCATGGTGACCACACTTTCTTGGGTAGGCTCAGAAGTAGCAGCATACAGTGGTATGACTCTTTTAAGAGGCCCATCTACCAAACACTTGTATGGAATTTATGAGTAGTGGGTGGCTAATTGTTGGCATGAGACTAGGTAGAAACGTGTACAGTGGCATGAACCAAGAAACTTCCCAGAGCTGGGATGTGAAATGTGACTCCTGCTGGGACCTCTACCATGAGACTAGGATCTCAGGGATCCAAGCAGGGATGAAGCCAGCCACCAACACACCATGATCTAACCTATACAGTAGTTAAGGGTATAGACAGTCATAAAAATAGTTAAAAAAGAATACAGTCTTAAAAAAAGAGTAATGTAATATAAAGGCAAGAGGCCATATAAAGATGGAAAATACACATGGGGAGTCTGGATACTATATGTTAATGTGTTGTCTTTAAATTTTTTGATTGCTGGTGCATGAACAATAGATGCTGAGACACACTGGATGATAGAAACTGCTTAATTAAACTAACCTATATATTTTAAATGTCTTAACGTCAAAATATAAGTCAAACATGTGTTACATTGAGGGAGAGGCTATGCTTTTATTTTCACAGAAAATGAAAAGCTGTGGATTCATTCAAGGTTAAAGATCAAATTTGACCAGGGAAGACCCCCTGAAAATCCAAGATACGGACATAAGGAAGTAAACTTAGAAAAATTACAAGACATGTGATATATATTTTACCTTCTCAAACATAAAACAAAAAAAAATCATCTTTGCCTGATTTGTGTACAACACAAATTCCATAATTTATGTTACCTTTAAAAGTTTATGTGTTTTCAGAACAAGAGGATCAAACACCAATAATAATGGATGGCTCAGGTGATTGAATATCTCAGATCACCTCTCTTGCAATTTCCTCAGAGTTCTGAATCCAGAACAGCTTCAAGGCTGTGAGCTGACATGGTGCATCCAGCTTCACAGACTACTCTAGCCAGGACTTAACCATAATCCTGAATTTTTCATGCCCTCCCACAAGATGACAATGCCACAGACAACAGGAAGCAGTCTAGAGAAAACAATTCCCATATTCCCAAGAGATGGGTCATGGATGTTTGACATCATTCATGGGGTTTGGTTACATGTTGCTATTGTGCATGGTCAGGAAAAAAGTTATACAAAGGAGTTAGATTCAAGGATCTCTTTCTGCAAGAAAAAGGAGGATATATTATAGAAATGATGAGATAAAAGGGTAGATTATTGCATCTACTTTAATCCAAAAATCAACTATTAAATTCAAAATATTTTATATTGGTATTGATTTCAGTTTACTAATACAAATTTAATTTTATTTTTGTTATACTGTATGTATGTTTCTACTCTTGTTTGTGGTACTGTGTATAAGCCAGGCAGTGATGGTGCACACCTTTAATCCCAGCACTCGGGAGGCAGAGCCAGGTGGATCTCTGTGAGTTCCAGGAAAGGTACCAAAGCTACACAGCGAAACCCTGTCTAAAACAACAACAACAACAACTAATGTAATGTATAATTAAGAAATACAGGTTAATAGTTAGTCATCTGCAATAATCATACTTCTAGTCATAGTCATATTAGGTAGGTTTTTAAGGTTAAACTAATATATTTAGATATGTATATTGTCTTCAAACACTTCAAAGACCTATAGAATATGGCCGTTAAGATTTTTAATAACCTGAGGCCTTTCATGGCAGTGAGACTCATCTGCTAACAGCACAAATCTACTTCAGAAAAGATGATGGGCATTGAAGAACCTCTGTATGGAGTTTACTTTCTTTGTGGTAAAAGCTTGACATTTGGTTAAGAAACTAGCCTTGCCTCAACTGCTGACAGTATTCTGTCTAAACTGGAGAAACAGAAGACAAAAGAAAGCAACTACTGAACATTTCCAAGACAAACTAAGTCAGTCCTTCAAAATTCCCTGCTTCTCAGAAATATTTCTAAGTTATTCTAGGCCTGTAGGCTAGAGATAGATGCCCCAGTATTGCAGAGGAACTTGGAGTGACTGTTTAGGCAGCCAGATATCCCTGTCATTAGGTAATATTACATCATTCTGATATCTTTGACAGAGTTAAAGATAAATAGTTAAACTTATAGTTTACCTTAGTTATGATAAAAGTAAAGGTATAAAACTTTAGAGTCATAAAGATAAGATAGATAATAGAGTATTTTCTCTAAATTTGCCAATGGACTGGATATTGTGTAACTGTAATTCTTACATGATAACTATTTTTGTTGTATATAGTTTTACTATGTTAAAGTTAAAACCTTCCTTTTTCAATTGGACAAAAAGTGGGAAATGTTGTGAAACAACCTTTTTGTACATTGTAAAAATATGTTAGTCTCATTGGTATAATAAAGATATAAATGGCTAATAGCTAAGCAGGAAGAGGTTAGGTGGGACTTGCAGACAGAGAGAGAGCTCACTGGGATGAAGAAGGGCAGTATCTCTAGCCAAACACAGAGGAATCAAGCCATGTACAAGATGAGGTAATAAGCCATGACCATGGGGCAACAAGTAAATTATTAGAAATTGGTTAATTTATGTTTTTTTACTTTATTTTACAATACTATTCAGTTGTACATAACAGCCACAGATTCCCTTGTTCTCTCCCTTCCTGCCCCTATTCCCTTCCTTCTCCCAGCCCACCCCCCATTTCCAACTCCTCCAGATCAAGGTCTCCCCTGAAGACTGGGATCGACCTGATAGACTCAGTCCAGGCAGGTCCAGTCCCCTCCTCCCAGATTGAGCCAAGCATCCCTGCATAAGTCCCAGGTTTCAACTGAAGAATGGACAAATAAATTGTGGCACATATACACAATGGAATACTACTCAGCAGAGAAAAACAATGACATCATGAAGTTTGCAGGCAAATGGATGGATCTAAAAAAAAATCATCCTGAGTGAGGTAACCCAGACTCAGAAAGATAAATATGGTATGTACTCACTCATAGGAGGATGCTAGATGTGAAACAAGGATGACTGGACCCTAATAGTTGTGCCAGAAACCCCATCCAAGGACTGAGGAATCTGGATGCTAGGCCCCTGGTGGAGCGCTGGGAGTCTAAATAGTGAGAAAGAGGAGGGTTTATATGAGCAAGAATTGTTGAAACCAAGGTTGGATAAAGCACAGGGACAAATAGCCAAATGAATGGAAACACATGAACTATGAACCAAAGGCTGAGGGGCCCCCAACTGAATCAGGCCCTCTGAATAGGTGAGACAGTCGATTGGCTTGATCTGTTTGGGAGGCATCTAGGCAGTGGTACCAGGTCCTAGGCTCGTTGTATGGGTTAATTTATGTTTTAAGAGCTAGTTAAAAACAAGCATATGATATTGGCTGAGCACTTATAATTAATATTAAGTCTCTGTATGATTATTTTGGGAACTGGCTACTTGCACAGAAAATTCAGCCTACAGTTTATTGATTGTTCTTTTTTATTTCTTTGTATGTTTGAACATTAAATCATTCTGTCAGATGTATAGTTAGCAAAGATTGTCTCCCCTTCTGTGAGCTTTCTTTTCACCCTGTTAAATGTTTCATTTGGTGTTCAAAGCTTTTTATTTTCATGAAGTTCCACTTGTCAAATTTTGGCCTTATTTCTTGATCAAATGGAGTCTTATTTGGAAACTTCTTTCCATACCTATATAATGTTGGGTACTGCCTATGATTTCTTCTATCAGTTCCAGAGTTTCAGGTTTCAGGTCTATGTGTTTGATCAATTTGTAGTTAATTTTTATATAAAGTGATAGATGGGGGCTATTTTTTATTCTTCTACATATGAATACACAGTATTCTCAGCATCATTTGTTGAATATGATTTATTTTATCCACAATATGGTTTGGGCATCCTTGTCAAGTATAAGATAGTCATGGCTATGCTAACATATGTTTGGGTCTTTGACTTTGTGTCCCTGGTCTCCATGTCTGATCTTGGTCTACTGTCATATTGTTGCACTACTATGGCTCTGTAATATATCTTAAGATATAGAACTATAAAAGTTCAAACTTTTTTTCCCTCGGTTTGTTTCAGCTATTTAGGATCCTTTCTGGTTACATATGAATTTTTGTATAGTTTCTTTTTCTATTTCTGCAAAGAATGAGATTGGAATTTTGATTGGGATTGCATTGAATTTGTATATAGGTTTCGGAAGAATCATCATTTTTCCAATGCTAATTCTTCCAATTGAATATGGGAGATTTTTCCATTTTCTAGTGTCTTCTCTATGTCTTTCTTCTGAGGTTTAAAATTTTCATTATAATAGTCTTAATATCCTTGGTTAAGTTCATTCTTAGACATTTTATTTTCTTTGAGACTACTGTGAATTGAAGTTCGCACATGGTCTCCATATATATATAATCTATTGTCTGAGCACTTATAATTAATATTAAGTCTCTGTATGATTATTTTGGGAGCTGGCTACTTGCACAGAAAATTCAGCAAACAGAAGACAGAGAAACAGAAGACGAAAGAAAGCAACTACTGAACATTTCTAAGACAAACTAAGTCAGTCCTTCAAAATTCCCTGCTTCTCAGAAATATTTCTAAGTTATTCTAGGCCTGTAGGCTAAAGATAGATGCCCCAGTATTGCAGAGGAACTTGGAGTGACTGTTTAGGCAGCCAGATATCCCTGTCATTAGGTAATATTACATCATTCTGGTATCTTTGACAGAGTTAAAGATAAATAGTTAAACTTATAGTTTACCTTAGTTATGATAAAAGTAAAGGTATAAAACTTTAGAGTCATAAAGATAAGATAGAGAATAGAATATTTTCTCTAAATTTATATATATATATAGTATATAGAAGAGCTATTGAGTTGTGTACATTGATTCATTATTCAACCATATTCCTGAGGTTTTTTTAATTTTTCATTTCTAAGAATTTTTCTCATAGAATATTTGGAAGTTATGATATTTATTACCATATAATCTGCAAAAAGGGATAGCTTGATTTCTTAAAAACTCTTTGAGTTGCATCATTTAGCTATTTATTGGAGCCTTTTAAAAATTTTTCTTAATGTAGGCATTTAGAGCTATAAATTTACCTCAAGGGACTGTTTTCAGTATGGCCCAGAAACCTCGGTGTGTTGTGTTTTCATTTTCTTGAAGTCTATGGAAGTTTTCTTTTTTTTTCTTTACTTTTTCTTTGATGCAGCCATTATCTAATTATGAGTTCGCTACTCTCTATGAGTTTGCTTATTTACAACAGTTTCTTTTCTTGTCCATTTTAAGTTTTGTTATGTCAGATAGGATAAAAGGAGTGATTTTAATATTTTTGAATCTTTAAAGATTTCTTTTGTGTCCTAGAATGTGGTATATTTTAGAAAAGCTTCCATGTGCTGCTGAGTAGAATGTATATTCTTTGGTGTTTGGAGAGGATAGCTGTTAAGCCCTTTGATGTTTGATGCCAAGTAATACTGGTGTTTCTCTGTTTGTTTCTTGTCCAAATGACCTTTTTATTTGAGAAAGGTTGGTACTGAAGTCACTTACTATTGTAATCTGTGTCTTTAGTTCTAGTAACATTTTTTAATGAAATTGTGCAACCTTGAATTTTATGCATATATGTTTAAGACAGTAATGCCTTTTACTTTTTATTTTCTTTTTTTAAATGTCATATCTTTATTGATTCCTTTGGAATTTCATACCATGCCCCCCAATTCTGCTCATTTCCCAATTCCCCCATATGTGATCTTCACCCTTGCAGCAGCATCCTCAAAAGAAAATTAAAGAAAAATTTAAAACTAAACCAAACC